GTATGATATTTTGATCATCTAACGGTTGTACGTATCTCTTAAAGTACTAATACTACAATAACAACCAGATTTTTACAGCGCAAATATTATAAGAGCTCTTATCGTAAGTGTAAAAATAGATAAGATTGGAAGATAGTCCCCCTCACTCTCCGTATGAGGGTACTGTTCGTGGTACAGGAATTTTTCTAGACCATTTCTTAAGCGTTTTTTATATGAGGTTTTAACATTTTTTGAGTGCTGGATCCTAAGATTTACGCCAGAGGCATAATATTTTACCCCTAATGATTTATAGGAGACAGACCGATTTCGAAGAATTTGGTAAGTGACATCTTTCTCATAATCCTATATTACAGTGTGCAAATGGCCCAATCCAGACAATAACCACGCCAACTTCCCATATAACACAATTTTCAATTCTATTTGATTCTTTCATTTCCAGGGCACAAATCAAGAAGCAATTAATATAACACGATACAATTTTGCACAAATAATTTCTTTAAAGTATGCCATGTTCAAATCCAACAAAACCTGTTCAAGCCACTAGGTATCAAATATATTGACCCTAGTACTTGTAGTTGACTTTTGACCGAAAATATCGATCAATGTGTCAGATATACAATTGAAATTCAGACAGAATCCTTTCCTGACAACAGTAATTCTCAGCATAAAAAAGGGGTATATGTAATACTGCCCTTACTTAACCCTAATAAATATTATATAAGGATATCTCAAGGAAAATTATAGAAAATTTTCTGCTCATAACAGTTTATCTTTGTGTCTAAAATATATTCAATTGCGTTAAAACTTGACCTAGTATCATATAACCATTACCGAGATTTTCGAACATCCGACTAATTTTGCTCGATATTATGGGTGACTGTATGTGAGGTACCTTAATGAAACCCAGGGAACTGGGCATGGTGATAATGGTAATAAATAGATAAAATCGGGATGATACTACCCTAACTGTGATATACTACGCATAGTGTTTTCGTTTTTCTAATGGGGCATCTCGGCAGGCTAAAGCTTACTGCATACTAACTGTTATAAGCCATTGAAACTGCCCAATCTACATATGCGCATTTGTTATCATAACATAATCATTTGCGACAAGGTATGTTCGAGCTAATGTAGCGCATGTTTTGAGAAATATATTTCTTCCTACAAATGTATTTTTGAAAAAAAATAAGAATTCAGGTTTTCGGACTACTATGTAAGAATTGTAGCATACATTTTAAACACCAATTAAAATAATAAATTTAATATGGGCAATGATATTTTGATTTATGCTTGTATAATAATAATAATACCCAACGATTACCCTCCTCCCGGCCAACCGACGCGAGGGGCGCAATCCGCGAACGAGCGGAATTAGCCGAGTCATAAAAAGCAAGGGAGGTTTAAGCGTTGCGATCTTAAGCTGCTCGGCTACAGAAACAAAAATTTCAMCAGCCAAAATTAAGAATTAGATTAAAGTTTATAATTTTTAAATGCTACTTGTTAAGAGTAGATAAAATATTTTTTTAATGGTAAAGAGTGACTCTGTTAGATCAAATGTGCTGGAATGAGAATTGAAATCGTGACATATACGGCGGAATGGTTCGTTTAACTCGAAATTTGTTCTAAAAAATTTTAAAAGGGAATGTTAAAATTAATATCAGACAAGAGGATGGGCTACAGACCGACCCATTGATGAGTTTTACAAGAAATATTATACCAAGCATTTCTATACGACTAGCGAGTGTAGGAAGATTTATAAGTTTTAAACGGTTAGTGTAAGGAGGATGATTTACAGTGGAATCCCAATGCATATGATTTAAGGCAAAAAGTAAAAATTGTTTTCTCAGAATGAACTTGATAACAAGGGTTCCATACCACGGAAGCATACCCTAATATAGGCCTCACCAAAGATGTAAAAAGAATATTTGTGGCAAGCGGATCTCTAAATTCTTTAGACCAACGTTTAACAAAACCAAGAGCACCTTTAGCTTTAAAAACCATGGAAGATGTGTGAAGATTAAAATTGAGTTTGGGGTCCATAGCATAACTATATCAAATTTATGACTTCGCTCATTCGCCAATAAATTTTCTATAATTTTTCCGCGAATTAACAATATTAAACTAAATATTAATTTTTTGGAAAAATGTATTAAATTATTTTGAAAATGTACCTTATTTTTATAATTTACCACACCCGTCTTGATACTCGCTCTTCTTGTTCTTCTTAATTGGCGTAGACACCGCTTACCCGATTATAACCGAGTTAACAACAGCGCGCCAGTCGTTTCTTCTTTTCGCTACGTGGCGTCAATTGGATATTCCAAGCGTAGCCAGGTCCTTCACCTCCTGGTCCTTTCACCGGAGTGGAGGTCTTCCCCTTCCTCTCCTTCCCCCGGCGGGTACAGCGTCGAATACTTTCAGAGTTGGAGTGTTTTCTCAAACAGCTCATCGTTCCATCGAATGCGATATTCGCCGCAGCCAACGCGCAAAGGACCGTAAATCTTTCGCATAAATTTTCTCTCGAAAATTCGCAACGTCGCCTCATCAGTTGTTGTCATCGTCCAAGCCTCTGCACCATATAGCAGGACGGGAATTATGAGTGACTTATAGAGTTTGGTTTATGTTCGTCGAGAGAGGACTTTGCTTCTCAATTACTTGCTCAGTCCGAAGTAACACCTGTTGGCAAGAGTTATCCTGCGTTGGATTTCCTGGCTGACATTGTTGGTGGTGTTTACCCTGGTTCCAAGATAGACGAAATTATCTACGACTTCAAAGTTATGACTATCAACAGTGACGAGCGAGCCAAGTCGACTTTCGTCTTGCCCTCGCTCACTGCCAGACCCATCTGCTTTGCTTCCTTGTCCAGTCTGGAGAAAGCAGAACTAACGACGCGGGTGTTGAGGCCGATGATATCAATATCATCCGCCGCTTTGTTGTTCTTCAGACGGGTAATTGCTATTCGAACTTCTGCATGGTGTTGTGCGTTCACTGCCATTCAGCAGCCTGGGGAAGTGTTCCCTCCATAATTTAAGTATGCTCTGAGCTTCGGTCAGTAGATCACCTTTGGGGGTTCTACAAGACTATGCTCCGGTCTTGATAACTTCTGTAAGCCGCCGCACTTTTTCGTAGAATTTCCGAACATTACCCCTGTCGGCAACTCCTCGTCGTTCCAGCTGTTCGTTTGCACTTTCCGAAAACCAATGGTTTTGGTTGCTGCTGTACGCAAGCAGTTTGAAATGCCGTCCCACAGTTCCCTTATACCGAATTATTGACGAGTGCTCTCAGAGAGCAGGAGTGCAAGCCGAGTAGAAAATCGTTCGGCTGTCTGTTGTAATTGCAGCTTCTCGACGTCGAACCTTCCTTGTGTTTGTTGGCGTGCATTTTTTAATCGAGTGCGAATCTTTTCTGCAACAAGATAGTGGTTAGAGTGGATGTTAGGACCTCGGAACGCACGCACATCTAAAACACTGGATACGTGTCGTCCGTCTATTACAACATGATCGATCTGGTTGATGGTTTTTCGAACCGGAGACAGCCAGGTAGCTTGATGAATCTCTTTATGGTGGAATCTAGTACTCCAGCTAACCATATTTCGGTCCCCGGCGAAGTCGATCAGCCTCAACCTGAATCTACCGACCGTAGTGCCAAAGATACCATCTTTGCCTACCCTGGCGCTAAAGTCGCCAAGCAGGATTTTGACATCGTGGCGGGGGCAGCTCTCATAAGTGCGCTCCAAGCACTCATAAAAGGAATTTTTGGTCACATCTTCCATCTCATCCGTCGGGGCGTGGGCGCAAATCAGCGATATGTTGAAGAAACTCGCTTTGATGCGAATTGTTGCTAGACGTTCATTCACCGGAGTGAATGATAGTACTCGACGACGGAGTCTCTCTGCCACCATGAATCCCACACCAATCTTGCGCTCCTTTGGTTGGCCACTGTAGAAAATGCCACAAAGACCTACTCGTCTCTGTCCTTGTCCCGTAATTCGCATTTCTTGGACGGCGGTGATGTCAACCTTCACTCTAACGAGGATATCAACCAGCTTGGCCGCGGCACCTTTCCAATTAAGGGACATTCCAGATGCATGCCCTCAATTCGTAGTCCTTATTTCGTTGGCCATGGTCGTCATCAAATGGGGGTCTCTGATCCGAGGCTGGTTGTTCATTTTCATTGGGTGTGTTTTTTTATCTGGCGGGTTCCAAACCCAGCGCACAACCCTATGCAGGGGATTATTCGCCTTCTCACTTTAGCTCGCCTTCAAACGGATGTTCTTAGGCTACCCAGAAGATACTTGGTCAAAGACCGTAAGTCGTGAGCTGCTTGAGCCATTTGTAAAGTAATCGTTTCTAGCCACTCCCAAGTGAATGGCGATCAGAGAACTTTCCTCACTTGCGTGATCTTCTACACATGACTCCATACTCGCTCTACTTAATTTAATATTACCGAAATGAAACTGCCGTCGGTATATGTGGAAATGGTATGTGTTGCCTTTTCGAAATTTTCATTGAAATGAAACTGCTGATATGACCGTTCATTGCTTTCAAGACCAATTGTAATTACATACTAATTAGTATTTCATATATTGTATTCCATAAGCAATATGGAGTTTCCCCAGGCAATACGCACAGCAATACAGCTAGTAACATAAAATTGCTTAAATTCCGATCCTCTATTATACCCGTTTATAGTATTTTCCTGGTTTTGATTCGTATAATTTGCAATAGTATTAAATGCTGGACGAAAACACTCCAGCTCTGAAAGTATTCGAGGCAGTACCCGCCGGGGGAAGCAGAGGAAGAAGAAGATCTCCACTCCGTTGGAAGGACCCAGTGGAGAACTGGCTTCACTTGGAATATGTAATTAGCGCCACGTAGCGAAAAGAAGAAACGACTGGCGCGCTGTTGTTAACTCGGCTATAATCGCGTAAGCGGTGTCTACGCCAATCAAGAAGAAGAAGATTAAATGCTCAGTTGCACCCGATCTTAGCCGTTTCTTACTTGTTTTGAGATATTATAGACGCAGGACACCCAATTTTACGCTATTTTTGAGGGTTAGAAAGCACTTAAAAAATACACAAATTAAACACTGCGTGACTATATCACCCAACATTTCGCCATCGTTTGTAAATGTCTGCGCGTATCACCAATAAACTATTCGACTGCTAGCTTTCTAATTGCTTCCACCGTTACTTTGTCCCATGCAGTCTTAATAAAATAAACAGCTTCCAAAATGTCCAATATTTTTGAAAGTTTATTTTTTGAAATATCTTCTACTCGTGTCAAAATATGCTTTTTAACAGCAGGTGAAAATATTAACCCTTATCTTCTGAGAACTCATTTATTTCATCACAGTAGCCATTCATACAGATTTACACGAAGCATTTGACCACCATTTAGCTGACATGTTTCAAATAATCATTAAAAATATCTTCATTTCAGGCCGAAAATTGTGAACGCTTAATTGACCTCTCGATATATAGTTATAGCCCCAGGAAGCTTATAGTTTTCGAGATATTCGTGTTTAAAGTTGAAAATTACCACTATTTGAAGTACGTATTTTCTCGATATAAAATTAATTTTGCACTTTGCACTTCACACTTCACTAATTCGTTTATACATATTTATTTTAGATAAAATAGTACAAAAATAGCTTTTATTATACATTTAACTTATTGTTCAATTCATTTATTTAAGCATAACAAATGAGTTACTAACTGTCCAATAATCAGTGTTACCAAATTAATATTTATTAATATTGATATTTTCCTTTTTACAATAGTGGTAGCGTCGGTTTTTCCAATATCGAGTCTGCAAAAGCAAAATATAAAATTAAGGATACATTTTCTTTATACATCACATTTACAATTTCCATTTTTTCTTTAATAAAAAGTATTTTCTTTATTAAATGTTATATATTTATTTTTCAAAAGATCAATTATAGTTTAGTCTAGTTTAAAAGGCCGAAATCGTTCAACAAATACATACAAAAAATTGTTGATACAATTTTTTTGGATTAACATTATTTGTTTGTGTAAGTACAAGATGTGTTGTACTATTTTGACAATTACTGATATCATGTTTCAAAAGCGTACAGTCTCTGAAATTTTATTCGAAGTAGTCGTATCAGTTAAAATATGATAAGTGTTTAGTAAAATAATGTACATGAGTTGAGTTTTGCGAAGTTTTAGTGGCACATGTGACCGCCTAGTTACTTGATAGTTGTTTGTGAAGAGATATTAAACATCGATTGCGACAATCGACTTTTTTTTTTACTCGCTTTGTAAACATAACTTGTTCTGCTGCACAAAAATGGCTGCAGGACCTATTGCAGAAAGAAATCAAGGTAATTAACTACTTTCTCTTATCTAAAATATATAACTTTATTAGACGTCAATTACAGATGCTACGATTTATGTTGGTGGTCTCGATGACAAAGTTTCGGAGACATTACTTTGGGAACTTTTTGTCCAAGCGGGGCCGGTAGGTAAGGATTTTTTATAAAATAATTTTATAATAATACTATTTAATCTATTGCATGGAACAGTGTTTGCTTTTTGACTATTAATATATTTATGTTGAAAAGGTTTTAAGTGATTTTGTTATACTATTTTTGGGGATTGTTTAGTATCGCGCCGGTTAAGTATCGTTTATGGAGAAAAACATGGTCGGGCTACCCCCCACTCCCGACTCTATATTGGAAAGAGGAAGGATCGAACTTTTTAATAAACCCCCCTCGACCCCCTATGGACATTATGGGAGGCCTTTGAAAATGACCAAAAATCAGTGTTTTTGCTCATTTTTCCATACAAACTGAATCCAATGCAACCCAGCCAACATTTTTGTATGGACAAGAAATCAAAATA